ATATATATATATATGCCCTACATGAAGTGTTTAGTCAACTTCACACCCTTCCCCTCTCACCCCAAAGCTCGCTTCAGATTCTACCTTGGGTTTGTCCGAACTTATACCTCTAACAGTCGGTGAAGAATTGTCACGATTTTTGAACAAGGCCTGCAATCTAATCATTACCATCCACGGTTACTGGTACCCGACCTTATCTATATGACCCTCCGTTCAAAGCGGAAGTCATCTCCGTGCTTGCAGAAAACACGGTGGTTGATGCAGCTACCGCTGGAGCTTTGATGAATGCCCTGCTCACCTATGCTGGACCACCTCCGGCCCCTGGTGTTGCTCGGCCCATCGGTCCTCCTGTGACCGTGACTCAAGCTTTGGCAGCTTACACCAGATGGGTGCACTTCAAGAGCGCATCCTTGGGATTGCTGCAACATCGGGAAGGAGTTCTGGCGAACTCTTGGCCCGAGTGATCATTGCGGGCGGCACCGCTACGGTTCTGTCCAGTGTGAGAACAGTTTCATGGACGGATGTCGAGTTCGTTGTGGCCATCATGTTCCGGTACTTCACAGACCTGAACGCCTTCAACGGAATCGATCCGAATTGGAACGCTGCTCCCAGCACTGACTACGGTGTCAATGTGGATTTGCAGAATTGCTTCACGTGTGTAGCACGTGGATCGATTCCTCCACAAGAGAATGTGCAGACGAAGTTCATCACTGGACCTCGATTGACGTTCTGGCCACGCCTCCAATCATTCCCCTGCAGCGCGACGCCGTCGCATGGCCAGACGCTGCGGCTTGACGGGGGTCCGGGTCGGAGAAGCGGCCAACCCAGGGCCTCCTCAACCGGGCACACCGGTGGGCGGCGAGCGGCCACGACGCATGGACTTGGATCCCGCCCCCCGTGAGCGGTCCCCTGCTCGTGGAGCTCCTGCTCGTGTTTTTTGCCCAGTGCCTGCGTGCCCGTGCTCCAACACCAGCACTGCAAGAGGTTGGGGCTCCCACGCGAGCATGCGGGCACACTTGGATGATCAGGCCTCCGGCTCCTTGCAGGGCGGCATCCCGAGCACCTACCTGACGGCCCGCAACCTGGACCTTTGCAGTGTTTGTGGCCTCACGGTGGCCCAGCGGTCGAACGGCACCCATCCCCGCTGCCGCCCCCAACAACGGCAGCACCTCCCCCAAGGCATGCCAACGAAAGCAGGGAGGGTGGCAGCTTGCCACCGTTGCAGATCGCAATTCGATGACTGCATGGGCTGAGCTTTGCATGCTGCCTAAAGCCGTCCTGCGGCCTCCGCCACGGGGAGGGGCCCACCGTCAACTACAAACCTGTGCCTTCACCCAGCGTCGCTGCGCTCGCTGGCTCGAAGGAGAACGGCACGAGCTTTGGGAAATCAACCGGCGGGGGGGGCCGCCCGTCGCTTTCGCCCCAGCAGTGCGGACAGCGATGATGACACTGATGAGTCCCTCGACACTGGGCGGCAAGCCCGTTGCATGGCCTTGGCTGCAGAGGGGGAACTTTCTCGGGCTTGCGCTTCGCTTGTTGACCCGCTTCTTCTGGAAAAAAAAAGCTGTTGTCCTTGCAGCTCTCCGGGCGAAACACCCCACCGCCGCCCCAGCGCGGCCAAGTTTGCTTGGATCTGGGCCTTGCCCCGCCGGATCCACCCCGGACTTTTCCGTCGAAGATGTCGTCAGGGCTGCCCGCAGCTTTCGCTGTGGTAGCGCTGCCGGCCCGTCTGGCCTTCGTGGGGAACACTTGCGGGAGGCCTTGGACAGCGCCCATGACGATGAAGTTGCAGCCCACCTCACCCGAGTTGCGCAGCTGCTGGCGCGCGGAGAAGCCCCCCTAGAGTTGGCCCAGCACCTCGCCGGCGCCACTCTGCACGCCCTGCCCAAAGGGGCCGACGATGTCCGGGGGAAACCCTCCGGCGCCTGGTGGCCAAGTGTCTGTGCTCTCAAGTGAAAGCCGAAGCTCGTGCCTGGTTGGCTCCCCTGCAGATTGGCGTGGCGGTCCCACTTGGGTCTGAAGCAGCGGTGCATTGCTCCCGGCACTGGGTCCATGCCAACCGTAGCAACCCCAACAAAGTTTTCCTGAAGTTGGATTTTGCGAATGCTTTCAACACGGTGGACCGTGCAGCCTTGTTGAGGGAGGTGCGCCTCCGGCTCCCGGCCCTTTCCCCGTGGGCAGAGTGGTGCTACAGCCATCACACAAAGCTGCTCTTCCAAGGAGAGGTTCTCACTTCAGAGGCCGGCGTGCAGCAAGGAGATCCACTTGGCCCCTTTTGTTTGCTTTAGCACTCCAGCCAGCTCTGTCAGCTGCCGGCCGGGGTCAGCTTGACCTCTGCTTTGCTTACTTGGATGATGTTTGCCTTGCAGGTGACTGCGCGGCTGTCAGTGCTGCTGTGGGCCGGTTGGTGAACGCGGCGCGCCAGCTTGGGCTCCAGCTTAACGCCAGCAAGTGCGAGCTCACGACCCTGAATGGCCCTCAGACCAACCTGGATCCCAGCCTTTTCCCAGCCGGTTTCCAAGTTAACGATACCGGAGAATTTGTGCTTCTCGGGGCCGCGGTCGGGAGCCCCGGCTTTTGCCACCAGCACACGTTGCAACGGGCAGAGAAAACCAAGCCCCTCCTGCAAGCTCTGAGCAAATTAGCCGACAGTCAGACCGCGCTGCTGCTGCTACGACATTGTGCTTCGTGGTCGAAATTGGTCTATTCCTGCCGGGTCACCCCGCCGCCTTTTCACCAGGATGCCTTGCAGAGCTACGACGCTGCGGTTCTTCAGTGTCTTGAACTTTGCTGCTCGGGGCCGCTCACCCCGTCAGCCTGCATACAAGCATCCTTATCCACGAAAACTGGTGGCCTTGGCCTCCGAAGCGTGGTTCGTCACAGTGGGGCAGCTTACACTGCCTCTGTCCTGGCCACGCTTGGGACCTGCTCCCTGATCCTTCAGCAATACAGCCCAAGCTTGGACGCCATCATCTCCAACTTGAATGGAACGTTGCTTGCTGCTGACCATGTTCCTTTCCCACCGCCGCCTTCCCTTCGACAACAGGATTTGTCACGGGCGGTGGATCGGAACACGGCGGTGCAGCTTGCTTCTGCCTTATCTGGGCCTGGGCATGAAGCTGCGCGAGCACACCTTCAACTTTTACAAGAACCAGGGGCTGGCGCGTGGCTGCAGGCGTTGCCCTGTGCCGCGCTCGGGCTTCACGTGGACAGTGCGCTGTTCCGCATCATGGTTCGCCTCCGGCTTCGGCTCCAACTGCATTCAGAAGATGCCCCTTGCCGCTTCTGTGATGGAGTCTGTGACACTTATGGGGACCATGCACGAGTGTGCCCCTGCGGAGGTGACCGCACCAAGAGGCACAACCGACTTCGCACAGTAGTGGCTACTTGGGCAGAAGCCGCGGGCTTACATCCGGAAATCGAAAAGCCTGGGCTTCTCCCCCCCCCGGTGTGAACACAATGGAGCTTCTGAGGATGGCACTCGGCAGGGGAATGGCCGCCGCCCTGCAGATGTGTACATCCCGCACTGGGGCCTTCGGGGGGCCGGCTGCCTTTGACCTGGCCGTCACTTCTGGGCTACGTACTGGTGCAACAGCTGGCTCTGCTCAAGAGGGCGGACGTTCCGCAGCAGATTACGAGGCGCGCAAGCGTGCTCACCAGCAGACCGAGGCATCCTGTGACGCGGCGGGGATCCAGTTTGTTCCACTTGTTGCTGAAGCATGTGCTGGAGGATGGGCGCCCACTGCTGTCGCCACCTGGAAACAAGTGGCTCGTGCCGTGGCCGGCCGCGCTGGCGACAGTGCCTCGGTTCTTGTCGACCGACTTCAGCAGTCCCTGTCGTTGACCTTGCAGAGGGAAAATGCTCGCGCGATTCTTCGCCGAGCCGGCGACAACCCTTCTGCAGGGGCTTTGCATTTCGACACTCCTTGATGATCTTGGTCGGAGAGACTGAACCCCCCAGTAGCTAAATTCAATTTCCGTGCATGTTTTTGTTACCGTCCGAATGGGACTCGGCTCTTTCCTTGCCAAGCAACGACGGAGCCTCCCATATCCTTGTTTTTTCTCGGTTCATGTTGTTGGGCATGGCCGAGAAGGATTCTCAAGCCTTCAGAGGCAGTGAATCTCCAGTGTAGCCTCTCGCACCACGCAATTTAGCTTCTCTTTTCCAAGGCTGGAGACAGCTCCGCTGTGCTCTGCCCCTTTGGCCATGCTTTTCGTACTTCCATGCTGCAGATCACTGCAGCCGGATTTTGTACATGTTGAAGTTTTCTTTTTTGAGTGCTTACCTGGCTTACCTTTGCCTCACACTAGATCCATGGACACTATTGGTACTTCCTGTGAAAAAAAAATAGGAGCTCCAATCACCTCCGTTTTGAAGATGGTGGGGTGGGTGCCAGGAGGGTCTAACCACCGAACCTGAGGATAAGGGGCCAGGTAGGGAGGATA